GGAAGGAAGGAAGGAAGGAAGGAAGGAAGGAAAGAAGGAGAGAGATGACAGTGGCTAAGACTATAATGGTAGGAGGGGATACAGAAAAAAGTAGGTGAGTTTAAAATACATTTTAAAGAGAGAACTGACTCAAAAATCTGCTGGCTGACTGAATGTGAGAAGTAGGAGGAGAGATAAGAAGGATGGCTTCTAGCTAAGTTGTATGGAGCTATTCATTTAAGGTGGGTTAGAATAAGGGTAAGAATAAGTAAAGGCAAATTTAAAATAACAGGAAAGGGGAAAAATAAACAGGAAAATCAGAAAGAAAACTGGTGGTCTGGGGCTGGAGACTGAACCCACTGAGTTATACAACCAGCTCCAGAATTAGAAAATTTACATGGAATAGAAAATTTAAAAGATATAAGTTGATACAGTCCCAAAACAAAATGGATCTTGATAAATGCTGTCAATTAAACTATACTTGCACTTGTTTTCATGATGATTTTTTTAAAGACTAGAAACAAAGAATACTTAAAAAGAAGTTGATGAATACTAAATACTAACCAGGATTTTCTTTTTTTGGTTTTTGGATTGGGGATTGAATCAAGGGACATTCTACCACTCAGCCATATTCCCAGTCCTTCTTATTTTATTTTGAGAAAGTCTTACTACGGTGCCAGGATAGCCTCAAACTTGTGATCCTCCTGCCTCAGCCTCCCAAGTAGCTGGGATTATAGGTGTGTGCCACTCTACCTGTCTAAAAAGGAATTTAGAACATTTGGATTGACTTCTTAAACATACTCCTAAAATCTTAGGAAATTTCTGTAACTTACTTTAACTTATATTTTTCCATGTTATTATTTTTCTTCAATATTTTGCTACTTCTAACAAAGAAGTTCATCAAATGTATTTATTATAACCATTACCAATTCCCCATTATATTAAACTTATAATTTGTTTCCAATATTTGCTGCTATAGTAATATGAACCTGCTTTGGATAAATCTTTGATTACTTCCTTAGATAAGTCTATAAAATTGCTGGAGGAAAGGATACACACTTTTGTGAAGACTGGAATTCACTGCTAAAGTGAATAAATTATTCTCTCACCATTAATATATGAGGTCTCTCTGATTCATCATTGATAATGAATATTAACTTTCAATATCCTTGGCAAAATGATTATTATTTTTGTTTCTTTCATCACCAAGATTTAAAATTTTATCATATTTATTAGTATTTGTATTTCTGCTTTGTGAACTGCCAGTTCGTTAACCTGACCTGTCTTCTATAAGCTTTGTTTTTTTGTTTGTTTTTGCAGTGCTAGGGATCAAACCCAGGGCTTAATGCATACCAGGCAAGCAACCTACCACTGACCTACACCCTCAGCCCTTTAAGTTTTAGTACTTTAGTACTCTTTATATGGGAAAAATTCAAGCCCTTTGTTATAAATCATTGTAATTTTTTGAGCTTCTTGTAATTAAAATATGCAATATTTGGCCAAATTATGTTATGTGCAGGTATAGACACATAACAATGAATCCCACTATTAAGTATAATTAAAATGCATCAATTAATAATAAAAGAAAAAGAAATAAAATTAATTAGTATTTTAGGTTTGAAGTTTAAATTTTATGCAATCAATCATATCTTTTCATGTGGATTTTACTATATGAGAAATCTTTTCCTTAATATACGAAATATAAAAAAATCTGAGGGACTTTTTTTTCAAGGGATGATATAGTTTTTTTTTTTTTAGTTGTAGATGGATAGCATGCCTTTATTTTATTTGTTTATTTTTATGTGATGCCAAGGCTCGAACCCAGTGCCTCACACATGCTAGACAAGTGCTCTATCACTGAGCTACAGCCCCAAGTTATAAATCTTATATGCTTTGTCCATGTTTGTTTAAACAAATGGCTGACCATAAAAATCACTCATACTGGCTTTCTATTAAAGTAATTCACTTATTTCCAGGCTCTAATTTAAGGTATTTTCTTATATAAAGAATTTTAAGAATTTTGATACAAAACATAAATTTCATTTGTATGATTCTCTCAGTTTTTAAAAACAGTGTCACAAACATCATTAACATATTTATGATGATGACATCCAGCAACAAGGAAGGTAAACAAATACACCCATTTATGTTCAGAAAGCACAGGTATAATCCAAGTGTATCTGTCTTTTCTTCAGTATTTTTCTTCTGCAAATGGATTACCTTTAATGCAGGTAGGCTGAAGCCATCTGTAAGGTTATGTGCTTCCTCTTCTGAAATCTGCTCTTCACTAAGTCCAAGGCCCAGCTCCTTAAAAGGCACCACACAGATGTAGTTGGTAACATTGTCACTCTCAGAGTTCAGGGGGTAGGTTAAATCAGGTTAAGGCAATCAACAAAGCCTTTTCATTAAACCATAAAAGGATCAGTCAAATTGTTCAAAATTACGTTTACTAGTCTATATTGTGAACTTTTAAAAAAATATATTTTAAATTGTTGATGGACCTTTACTTTATGTATTAATTTATTTATATGTGGTGCTGAGAATCGAACCCAGTGCCTCACACATGCCAGGCAAGCGCTCTACCACTGAGCCACAACCCTAGCCCTGATGTACTGTGAACTTTTGCTGGAGATTTATATCAATTTTTTAGCACTGATTAATCTCAAAACCTACATATTAACAACATTCAGATGTAGGATACTTGTGAATAAAAATTTTAATGTCTAGGGCTGGAGTTGCTGTTCAGTAGTAGAGTGCTTGCCTAGCATGTATGAGGCACTGGGTTTAATTCTAAGCACCACACAAAAATAAATAAATAAAAATAAAGGTTCATCCACAACTGAAAAATATATATATTAAAAAAAAATTTTAATGTCTAAATAATTAGGAACCTGGGATTGTGGCTCACTGGTAGAGTGCTCACCTAGCATGTGTGAGGCACTGGGTTCAATCCTCAGCACCACATTAAAATAAATAAAATAAAGGAAAAAATAAATAAAAAAAATAAAAGTGACTCTTCAAAGGTGCTAAAATGTTAATTTAGTACTTTTTAACACCTGCCTTTTGAATTGTATTGTAGCTCAGGTCCCCACTATGCTACAGTAAATACTTCTCTTTGTTTCAGTCCATACACAAGACACAATTTACTTAACACTGCATAGACTACTAACATAAATGGCACTAAACCTTTTCTGGGTTGTCTGACATAGACCACTGCTGTTTCCTTTGTTTTATTCCTTATGGACATATATCTGTATCAATCAAAAAGTTAGTTTTCCTTTTTGTTGTTGTTTATATACTTACTTATTTATTTTGGTACTGAGGATTGAACCCAGAAGCACTTTACCACTGAGCTACATTCCTAGCACCCCCCAGCCCCTTTTTATTATTTTTTACACTAAGTTGCTGAGGTTAGACGTGAACTCATGATCCTTTTGCCTCAATGGCCTGAGACACTGGGATTATAGGTATGCACCACTGTGCCTGGCCATTCATTGTTTTTGAAAGAATTATATCCATAGAATTCTTGATATTGAACCATCCTTGCATTTCTAGAATTTGCCTATTCGGTCATATTGTGATAATATTTTGATTTGATGCTAGGTTATATTTATAAATGCTTTGTTAAATATTTTGTATCTCTATTGTGAGATTAGTGTATAGTTTTTATTCTTTGTGATATATAATGTTTAGATACTGAGATTAAAGTATTTTAATAAATAAATTGATGTGGGGAGATTTCTAACATTTCCTATGACTGGATTTTTTTTAAACTAATAAAATCATCTTGACTTGGTAGTTAAAATTTTTCTTATTCAATTAATTTTTGAATAAGATTCAAAATTCATGAGGTCCAGTGAAAACTATTTTCTACCCCATCACTTAGTCACCTAGTTTTGCTACCAAAAGTAAAGGTAATCCATATTGCCATACCTTATGTATCCTTCAAAGTATTGTATACATACATATATAAAAGCAAATCTACATTTAAATATTTGTGTATCTGGGGACTGGGGATGTGGCTCAAGCAGTAGCGCGCTCACCTGGCATGACTGTGGCCCGGGTTTGATCCTCAGCATCACATACCAACAAAGATGTTGTGTCCGCCAAAAACTAAAATAAATATTAAAATTCTCTCTCTTTAAAAAAAAAATAAATATTTGTGTATCTGGAGATATTTAATAATTATAGGACATATACACCTGGACACACAAACACTTACATACTTATTTATCCCTACATATTTACAGAGTCCTCTTTATGCATGGATACTATAAATATTGCTTTGAGCATTTTGCTGTTTTTTTCACTAAATAAAACTTGGAGATCATCTCACACTAAAGTATTAACTGCCAGATCACTACTGTTTTAATAATTGCATATTTTCCATTGTTTACATATAACCAGGTAGTCTCTTTATTTACTCATGATTTAATATAGCCACGGAAATTTTTCTAAAACAAAGATCATATACACTTTTATTTTCTGGCAAACAGAAGTAGTTTCCTAATTTAGTAAATTTAAGTGACAGACTTACTGTCATGTAGTCTTTGAGTGTTTCCTATATGCTAGGGACTGTCTGATCACTTTACATGCATTAACTCATTTGACCTGAACAAAAACACAATGAAGAAAATCATGTTATTATTGCCATTTTAAAGATGAGGAGAATAAAGTACAGGAGATTAAGAAACTGGTCACCTGGACAGAAACCAAGAGTCAGAATTTGAATTTAGGCAATCTGTCTGCTTTTTGAAAGGGGAAGGATTTCCTGTTGCCAGTTTATTACCATGTTCAGCCATTTTTAAAAATGTCAGACCTAGCAAATCCAGGCTCTTTTGACTTTATTCTGTGGATTTCTAAAGGGAGGGTCTTGATGTTTTGTTTTGTTTTTTTTTTCCCCCCTGTTAAAAATGAGCCACCTAAGAGCAGAAGAGCTTTCTTCCTGTTACTGTCATTTTCCTGGAATGCATTTCCAGTTTTAAAATAGAAATGATGATGAAAATTAGCTTCAAAACCACAGTCCAAACCTACTGTTAACTTTTACAGGATGCAACTATAATGGACTTTGGAATAATGTTTATTCTCACATATAGACAGAAAAGGATATTTTTTCAGCATATATAGGGTAGCTAGCCTTGCTGCTTGAAAGTTGGCTCTTACAGTTCTGTAAACAGCTTTCCGAAGACCGATGAGATGCTGACTGGGATGCTGTCCAGCTTTATTAAATGAGCAAGCAGCACTGACCCTGTCAAGCAAACTTGAAAAGTAAAATGTGATACAACTGTACAGATGTCCTAAAGTTTTTGTTTCCTAAATCCACAATTCTAGTAACATCAGAAAGAATTCCTTTCTCATAATTTTTATTAGAAAATGACTATAAGTATCCCAATTCAGGTGTCATAAATAACCATTTCCCTGACCCATACATGGCCATCAGAAAAAAACACAAGTGAAAAATCAAAATCTCAAAGATTAAAGGTTTCCTATGATATGGGGAAACCATCAGTTGTGATAGAATAGAAATATAAAAATATTTATGTAAGAATTTGCATATTTTTTTCCATAAAGATACTCTACCTTCTAAAATACACTAAAGAGGAACTACTTTACAGTTTTCAGAACCCATATCCATGAGATATATGAAGGATTTTAATTATCAACAGATTCACATTCTTAATATATATTTACATATATTCAATTAATCATATATTTGGTTACTTGTACAGAACAATCAAATACTGTATAGAAATAACATTCTGTACATTGATAAAAGTAGGGTAAAATTACTTACCCACCTGCTGCCACTGGCACTTACCTACTCAAAATGAAGTAGGGGGCGCAGAAAGATAACAGGACCAGTGGCCAACAGGGGAATGCAAGTAGAAAGGTAAAGTAAGGGTTACTTCGTGGTAGGAGAGCTACTCTCAAAATTGTTCAAAAGGAGCACATTTTATGCCACTTTCCTTAAGATTAATGGAAAGTATCTATTTGCAATAATTTATGTGTTGTTTTATGACTGTTACGTATGCTGGATTAAATATTATAGTTATTAGATAATAACAAATATCAATATTTGTAAATTTTCTATAATATAACCATAAACTTATATTTAAAACCCTAACTCAGAACTTTAAAAATGTTAAAACAAATTAAAATATATGGATAATGACTGATACTTATTCTTTTTTTAAAAAATTTTTTTTGTGGGCTGGGGATGTGGCTCAAGTGGTAGCACGCTCTCCTGGCATGCGTGCGGCCCGGGTTCGATCCTCAGCACCACATACAAACAAAGATGTTGTGTCTGCCAAGAACTGAAAAATAAATATTAAAAAATTCTCTCTCTCTTTAAAAAAAGAAAAAAATTTTTTTTGTAGTTTTAGATGGACAGCATGCCTTTATTTATTTTTATGTGGTGCTAAGGATCGAACTCAGTGCTTCACATGTGCTAGGCAAGTGCTCTGCCACTGAGCTACAGCCCCAGCTCCAACAGGCTTATTCTTAAGGCAAAGAAGGGTTAAATTATTTTCTAGAGAGGACAAATTGAGACAGAAACAAAATAGCATGCATAATTTCAACATATGGAACTATTGTTTGTGTTCCAATTTACTAAACCAGTTTTATAAAGTAAAAATATTTGTAAAAAATTATGATTCACGATTTATTATTTCTCATTTTTTTCAGAGTACTGTCCAGTTAGTCAGAAATAAATGAAACACAATTTCTTCCAATATTTTTTCTGCTTATCTGCCATCTGAACAGTAGAAAAGCATCATCTAGAGGTAAATTGTGTCTAACTGGCCCACATTACCTTTTCATGCCAATTCCATATATATAGGTAAAAACCTGAAAGTGACAAAGGCCCAGAATCCTCTACACATGCCTAAACATTAGATAGGCACCCAGACATTCAGCTTAATCAGTCAGGCCTTTCAATAAAATGCTGGGTAAGTCAGGAATGAAAAGGAGATATTACTTATTTTAAGTGTGATTTTTAATTTTTAAAATTTGACAAACAACATAAAACCATTATCTTCTAAGTAAGAAGCAGACTTAACCTAGTGGAAGGAAAATATCCATAGATACTGAGCACTTTTATTTTGAGTTGAGCAGAGGAGAAGGTATAAAATCGTCTAATGTCTTGGAATAATATGAACACTCAGAACTGTTGTGTAGAATACCACAGAGTAAAGAACATTATAACTACTGCAGCTTCTTCCTCTTCTTTGTTCCATAATGTTCCAGATATAGCTTTTCTGTCAAGATTGTTTAAGTACTATTCTAGAGCAGAGTGAAGAATTCAAGACACCAGAGGTTTTTCACTTCTGATTTTCACAATTTCCCAGATACAACTAAAAGTAATGGTTATTCTTTATTATATACTTTCTCCCACATATAGACTGCAATTGTTAAATAAGTAATATAAATTATTAAATATACTATAGTCCAGCCAACATTTGTGAACATTTAGTAGGCAACAACTTACTGGAAATAAGTTAGAAGTCAGATGGAATGGATTTGGATATGTGCTCTATCACTTACCATACAACTTGCCTTTAGTTGTATGTAAAAGTGATTAGCATAGTATATGGAACATAGTTGGTGTTCATTTAACTTTTTTTTAATAAAAAAAATAAGTAGCAAGTATGGCAGTAGCTTAAACACTTATGGCTGAATTGGTGAATATTTTGTTGCCAATGGGAATACGAAACATCACTATTTGCATGATATTCTGAAAGTATCTGTGCTATAATACCACCAATGTTTACTAAAGAATATTACTAACACAGGTTAAGACTTCAAAATTAATCCATGTCAGATACATCTATCACTTAAACTGGAGAAAGATGACATTTAAAAGAGAATAAAGGGAACAGACATGTATGGGGTACCAATTGCATGCTAGGTTCAGTGTCAGGCAGTCTTTTTATATTATCTCATACAAATAAATACATGGTAATAGATAAAATAATCATGATCCTTGAAGTACTATGGTTTCTCAAAGGAGGTAAGTAGATTTATACTACATGTTAAATCTAGCATATAATGTCTTTAACCCTTCATTTTATAGTTAATAGACTTTAAGTAGGGCTGACAGGTAACATGCTCTTTTCCAGTAAATTCATGAGATAAATGAAAATAGATAATAAATAGTCTCCTTGAACTATGTAGTGAAAAACAATAATTTTTTAAATGAAACGAAAAATGAACTCACAGTGTAAATCCTCTGGAAATGACTTCAGTTTCTTGAATGAGACGTAAAGCTTTTCTCACAAGATTAGTAAACGCTCGGCTATTTGCTGCCATATCTTCCAGACGGACACTGTATTTTTTTAGGGTCATATGTAGTTTGGCTGTCCTCCATAATCTCAATGCTCGTATGATCAAATAAAGAAATAGAACCACTCCCCATACCATCCAAGAAGATACAATCCACCAAGTGGGAAGCATAATCAGCAAACTAATGAAGGCAAATAGCATTGAGACATCCCTAGGAACAGAGAAACCAAGAGAAGGATATCCATTAGACAAGAAAAAGAAAGATAAGTCAACTGGTAAATACAATAGTAAATTTAGGTGTACTAAAATTGATAAATTCTTTGTGAAACAAGACTTTGAAAACATGACATTTAATAAGATAATATGAAATAGTTGTAATTTTTTTTTTGTGTGTGTGGTTCTAGGGATTGAACCCAGGGGTGCTCTACCACCAAGCTACATGCTTAGTTCTTTTTATTTTGAGGCAGGGTCTCCCTAAGTTGTCCAGGCTGGCCTTGAACTTGCGATCCCTCTGCCTCAGGCTCCTAAATAGCTGGGATTACAGGTTTGTGGCACCTCACCCAGAAAATTCTTCCACTTTTGAAGGAAAAGATGCTTACTTCCTCATGATATTTGGTTGACTGCAGATTTAAAAAGTATCATACTTCACTATCTGAAGCATCTGTCAGTGTGACAGGAAAGACATTTAGAACACTGAGGCCAAAGAATGTAACTGCCTAATATAACTGGAACAGTGATTTAGTGCATTCCTTGATTCATTCCTCCGTTCTCTGTCAAATTTAATAAATGCTAATAGGAGGACATCAGCAACTTTTTATATATAATCTCATTTTACCATTCTTCTTCTTATTTAAAAAAATATGACTTTTGCATTAGATGCAGGTACTTCAAGAGATTGAAAATGGTTATCTGTTTGTTTTTGAGCAACATCTCCAGCTCTTTTTTGTATTTTATTTAGAGACAGGGTTTCAATGAGTTGGTTAGGCTCTAAGTTGCTGAGGCTTCCTTTGACTCACAATCCTCCTGTCTCAGGCTCCTGAGCCGCTAGGATTACAGGTGTGCACCACCACACCTGGCTTATATTTATACTTCTTGTTGAGCTGCTAAGCTCAAAACTAATTTTACTGAGTTGGAAGTATATGATAATCAAATCATATCTTTTTCCGGCTTCACTTTAAATAGCAGTTACTTCAGAGAAACATTTTTTAACCTCTAGCATATCATTACATTCATTGTAATGCTAATTGTATAGGATGTTTATAATGCCTTTACAATGGAAAGCATGATGACATTTCCTCTGTGATACTCTATATGTAAGCAGTCAAAGATAGATGTTTTCTGGACAGTACCAAATATTAGGGGTTGCCAGGGAGCGGAGTGTTGGAAGGTGTCCATTTTCCTGTTGTTGAGGTTGCCCTGCAGACAGGATACTGGGATCAAGTAGCTCAATTAGTTCTACATCCTCTTGTAACAGGACTTCCTGTTGCAGGATGGTATGCAGTAAGTCGAGTCGGAATCCAGTATCCTTGCCATTAAAATGCCAGAAGAAAAGAATTAATACATACATGCCACTGTATTAAGTGCTAGGCTTCTAATGTATAATAAACTTTAGGAGGTGTTCATTTTCAGTACAGACCCCCAAAAGAAACAGTCCAATCTATCTTAAGTATGATAGATGGGGTTTTATTTTCACTATATATGTGAAACAATAAAAATTGAGATCGACATTAAGATATTAGATATGAAGTATAAATTTTAAATAATGAGATATAAAGTAATTACAGATTAATAACACTGTCTGCTCAAGCCTACTTAAATTGTTGGGAGGCAATATGGTGAATATAATATAAAAGATGCTGACCCTGAATACTGTAATGATAAAGCCATATCTAAGAATTATGTCAACAGGATCAAGGCCTTCTAAAAATGGACATTCAGTTATTTAAAAGTACATTATTAGGTATGTAATGCAAAACAACATTAACATTTCCATAGCACTTTATAGTTTACAAAATGCCTTCACATATACCAGTTCATTTATTCTTCACTCTCTTCCTTCTATCCATATGTCAAGAAATATCTTCTTTAAGCAAGGTACCATGCTTGACACCGAAGACACAAAAAATGGACAAGACATACAAATCTCTACCTTTTATTTTTATTTTTTTGCAGTATTAGGGGATTGAACCTAGATCCTTGTGATACTAGGCAAGAACTCTACCAATGAGCTCACACTTGGCCTACCAGTCTCTACTCTTACTAAGGAGTTCCTAATAGTTTAATGGACAGAACCAAAAATTAAACAGTTAAGATATAATGTGTAAAGAAGTGTGATGAGGTATAACTAGGAAACTAAGAAAATGACCAGAAGAACCAAATTTAAAGTCAGCCAAAGTTAAAGAAGTAAAACCTGACATAGTCTTAAAGGATAAATAAGAATTGATCAGATAAAAGAGTTGGAAGAGTGGGACAGTCAGGATAGGAGCCCTTCTAATTTGGGAAAGCAGAATTCATGTTATGTGCAGAATGCACATTGCATATGGTAGAAAGGTGACAGAAGAGGTAGCAGTGTTAGGGCAGTCAGGTTAATTTTCACAGTAACCCTGTGATGTACATAATCATCCTCTTCTCCATTTTATAGAGAAGAAACCAAAAGCCAAAAGAGATGAAGTTACTTTCCAGAATTCTGATTTCAAATTCTAATAGATTTTTTAAGTTTAATTTTAAGTGATACATAAGAACACAAAAATTGTACATATTAATGGAGTACCATGTAATGTTTCAATACTCAGATACATGGTGTAATGTTTAAATCCAGTTAAACACATCTTTCTCCCCATTTATCATTTCTTTATGGTGAAAACTTACAAAGTCCTTTCTTATAGTTTTTTAATGTATAGTACATTATGGATATCTATAGTAACCTTATTGTGCAATAGCACATGAGAAATTATTACTCCTATCTAAATGTAACTTAGTAACCACTGACCAACCTTTCCCCATCCCCTGAACCTTCCGTAGTCTTTGGTAGTTAATTCTTCTTTTCTGCAGTTAGCCTCACCAGAAAATTTTACATTTTGTTTTGTATTAAATTTAGTAACAGAGTGATTTTGTTATATCAAAATAAAAATAATTTTTAAATGAACAAGGCCTTTTATAATAAAAATAAAACCAATTAGGTCTTAGGTTTGAGGGCAGAACTTTGCTTTTCCTTTGTTTAAACATCATTCCTAGCATCACACTCAACTGCAAAACTAGAATACTCTGCCTTCTCAAATCAATATGCTTAGAGGCAATATTAATAGCTTTGGGAATATCTGATTAAAGAATATAACACACCAACAACCTAAAATAATAGTGAACTTGAAAGGAACCAAGACACTTCAAATAACTAAAGTAGTGTTATCTTAAGGATTTGATTGCTTCTACAGAGGAAACACTTGAACTATATTTTGATAACAATGGCTATTTAAGTGGAATAAGATTAAATTAATAAGTTTCTTCAGGATAAATTATAAAATTATATATTACTATTTATAAAAATAAGAATTAACTGTAGAAAATATGCTGTACTACAGCAATCAAACTACCAGGAAAATAGTCATATGCCATATTAAGAAACATCTCACAACAGCCTTATTTGAACTGAGAAGTCCAGGTTCAAATCAAACAAAGGAAGAAATTTAAAAGATACAAATTCCGACTAACTTACATATCAGAGGTGGGAGCCCTGTGCTGTTGGAAGGTGCACTATATAAAATGGCTCATTCTCAACAAGTTTGAGTATCAAAACTTGGAACCTAGGCTTATATCTTGGGCTCACAACTTAAGCAAGTTAATAGCTTCTCTGTACTAGTTTTCTCATCTGTAAAGTGGGGGATAATAAAAGTACTACTTTATAGGGCTGTGCAGAATAAGTTGATATCTATAAAACAGTAAGAACAGTTTCTGGCACACAGTAAGTTCTAAGTGTTAGCTGTTAGTGTTGTTAGTACATATGAAATAATCACACTCAACTGCAAAACTAGAATACTCTGCCTTCTCAAATCAATATGCTTAGAGGCAATATTAATATCTTTGGGAATATTTTTGCATTGTATTATGCATTGAACATAATACAATGCAAAAACTTATAGAACATAAATATAGATAATTATTACTAGGTTGATGAATAAATAAGAGATCCAATGGAATGAAGTTTATGTGTGTGGGAGGGGAAACTTGAGAAAAAGCTAGGATTGCTTACTGAACAGATTCCAAGAGATCAAGAGAAAAATGGAAAAGAGTTCCACCACAGTATAAGAGCACATACACAGGCATACAGAATACAAAATTAAAGAAAAGGAAGGTGGATGAAGTTGGAAAGGTTGGTTAATACTAAATTATGCAGACTCTTTAGTGCTGAAGTGAGCAATTTGGATTGATTTTATGGATAATGGAAATTTCAGGATGTACACAGGAAAGTGGCATGAGAAAGTAACTTAGGACGATTTCTGCTTGGATGAAATGAAAAGGATATGAGAAGACACATTAAAGAATAAAGAGATTTCTAATTTTTTCTTCTGCATCAATGATCTTACACAGTTTTCTGTATCATAATGCTATTTCATAAAGCTGATAGGATCAAATGAGATACATGTGTGAAAGCATTTTATAGGTCAAAAAAATGCTTAAAAAGTACTACTAACACTACCATCATAATTGCTATAAAGGAATCTCTTTTTGTTTCAATCTCTAGGCACTATAAACATAAACAGTAAAATATTCAATATCAAAAATATTGCCAGTATTTTTATTTAAAAAAAGAGGGTCTGTTTCAATGTCTGTATAATTAACAACATATTAAATATATCACAACCAAGGTGGTAAAGTCAAGCAATCACATGACAGAAGCCAAGTGGTCAATTCCTTTAGTCAACTACTTCTTTGGTTATGTATTCCCATAATTCTCCATAATACAGGCACAAAAGGGATGCATACAGAGGCTGCCTGCCACTTTATAGAGAAACATGACATGAAACATGTGGCCACTGACAATGAACCAAAGAACAAAAGACCAGGCCAATGCAGACAATGAATAAACCACAGAAAAACATATGTGGATCCATATACCTTACCACAGTCCTAGTATCACTGAAGAATGAGATGGCTCCACCTGGGTAAAGATGATATTCTACGTAGATGATAAGACACTTCCTTGACCTTCTCAATACACCTTCTACAAAGATGAAACCCTGAACAGAGAACTTGATAATCTGGATTGCTAAAAACATAATTTTAGTCAAAAAATAATAATACTCAAGCTAGAAAGGTAGTAGTTTTGAGTGGAAAGAGCAAGGGTTTTGAAACCAAGAGACTTGGGTTCAGATTCTGACTCTGTCATGTTCTGTAGCCAAATATTCTTGGGCAATTCACTTAATCGTATTACAGTCTGAATCTAGGCTTTTCACTATATTCAACCTTATAGTGTGTTTGGAGTAGTGAATCAAAATGTGAAAGCACTTTGTAAACAATCTCTTTACAGATGTTAATTTACAAGAATGACAATTCTTAGAGTCACAGGCCTGCAGAGGATCCTGAAACCTGCTCATTCATAACTTGGTTACTCCTTTTGGGAGCCATGAGAACTTTATAATTTGAATGTTTTAGCTATACTTCCTGGATTTTATATTGTTAGGTTGTAAGAAGGTCATGAGTCAAGCAATAGATATATTAATTACAGTCTAGTCTAGTGAAAAAAAAATTAAAATAGAAAGAAAACCTCTCAGGAATCACAAAGACCCTCAGCGTTGATTGACCATTTCAAATGTCTGTGAAATTCTGTGATTCACCAGTCCCCCAAGACTAAAATGATCACACTAATAGATGAATTCTCTTCCCTCCTGAGAGGAACACTTGTCAATGAAGCAAGATGGTAGCACTAATTTATAAGTCTAAAAAACAAGGTTCCAATAACTACCAGAATATTCCATTCTAAGTTGTTACTAACCTCTTAAAAGAGCTATGAACAATAACAAAAGCCTGAATTAAAAGGTCCCCAGTTGTTGCAGAATTCTTAATTAAAAAAAAGAAAAATCACTGCCAAAATCAGTAGCAAAATACATGAAGCCCTATAAGATGACAAAAAAGAAGTGAAGTGAAGGGGCTGGGGATGTGGCTCAAGCAGTAGCGCGCTCGCCTGGCATGCGTGCGGCCAGGGTTCGATCCTCAGCACCACATACAAACAAAGATGTTGTGTCTGCCAAATACTAAAAAATAAATATTAAAATTCTCTCTCTCTCTCTCTCTCTCTCTCTCTCTCTCTCTTTCACCGATCTAAGTAAAGTGAATACTCACCAATTTGTGAAGTAAGTCATCTTTCTTATTGCACTGAGAAAAACAAATCCAACTTTTGATGGTTTCAGCCACTTTTAACAGGATGCCTTGCTGAAGGAGATGAATGACATTATATAGGATCACTAATTAAATATAACCAAAAAGTAAAAAAAAACTCTAAATACCTTACCTCTAGTTAATCAGAATTTTTATCGGAAAAATTGTCCAGGTTATACATTTTGTGAATGTTGCAGTCTCCTCGTTAATTCCAAAATTTGGTTGTACAATAGAATCACCTGGAGCTTTTAATTAGAAATATATTTCTGAGCCTCCAAACTAAGAAAAGTTTGATTCAACAAATTTGGAATAAGGCCTAGAAATCTGTTTCTCCAAAAGCAGCCCAAAGACATTCTAATGTAATCTATTTGTCTTGGGAACACTATATACTATCTATGTCAATGTGACATTGGTATTTATTTCAGAATGAAAATCCTAGGGCATGCCAAGTTCTCAAATATTAAGACTATTTCATTTCATAATATTAAGGCAGAAAGATGTTTTAATCATTTTAGAAAAACTGTCACATACTGAAATAAAAGATTTATTATTGAATCAACCAAAAATACAATTTACCTTAATTGCCCATTTCTGAGCGTGCCAGAAAAAGGAGGTTATATTCATTACATGATGGAATTTATATTGAGTGATTACAAACCCAGGTACTGCAAAGGGTCATAGAAATTAAAAATAAATACACATAACTGCTGTTTTCAGGAACTTAGTATAGAAGAGACAATAGAAATAATTATACACCAATGCAAAGTCTAGAATAAAGTATGGGAGGAGAGGAGGTCAAAAGAGCAGCTAATACTGGAGCTAAGCCCTATCAGAGGAGCAGGAATTCAACAAAGGTGGGAGGACATTCCAGGGTAGGGAAGAGGAAGAGCAAAGGAGAGAGTCTAAGGAAGCACAGACCATGGGAATGGTGGCATAGCCCAGGACAGTTATGATTATAGGAAGAAGGGATTATTCAGGAAGTTAAAAGGTATATGGATTCCATAAAAACTTACTATTTTTATGTGCCAATTAAAGAAAAACAAAAAGATAAGGCAGAGGGTATAGTTAAATGGTAGAGTGTATGCTTAGAATAAGGGAGGCCCAGGGTCTAATCCCTAGCATGAGAGTGGCTGGGGGAGTATAATGAAAGGCATGGTATGATCTTAGATAACGTCATAGTTTAGACATTATCTGATAGGTTATGAGGGGCCACCAAAGGTTTTTAATGCAAGAAAACAAAACAATAAATCAGCATTTTACAAAAATAACTGGCAATGGTGTAAAGGCTATAATGGCAAGTAATGTCTGCAGAATGACTAGGAGGATATTTAATAAGTCATAAATAATGATAAAGGCTTCAGCAAGGTATTGAATGTAAACACAGTAATACATAGAGTTAGATTTAAGATACATAGAAGCTGACCTGATATATCAATTAGTTACCAAAGCAACACAGGAATGATAGGAAATGGTGAGATAACTGACAGAGAGTAGTAATTTGGGAATATAGAGAGAATGTTTTTTGTTTGTTTTGGGGGTGACTGAGAAAAGAAGTCCTGTTTGGGGCATACTGAACCTGTGCTTACTGGAACACATGCAGGTGAAAATGTCTAATAAGCATCTGGACCTCAGAAAAGCCTGGAGAATGTATATAACCAATCAATGAAGGCAAGATAGTAGATAAGATTACCCAGAGAAGAAAGACCAAGGAGAGAAGAGGCCTGATGCTAAAATCTTGTGAAAGAGCTGGGAATGGTGGGTGTATGCCTACAATCAGGAGGCAGAGGCAGGAGGACTGGAAGTTGGAAAGATTGCAAGTTGGAGGCCAGTCTGGGCAACTTAGTGAGGACCTGTCTTAAATTAAAAAGTAAAAAGGGCTGGGAATGTAGCTTATGGTAGAACACCCCTGGCTTCAATCCCCAGGACTGTAAAGAAACAAAACCAAACAAACAAAAAAACCTTATGAAAGGAACATTTAAGAACTACCACAGAGCTGGGTTTGTAGCTCAGTGATAGAGTGCTTGCCTAGCATGTGAGGCACTGGGTTTGATTCTCAGCACCACATATAAATAAATAAAGTCGATTGACAACTGAAAAAAATATTAAAAAAAAAGAACAACCACAGAAAAGGAGAAAAAAAGGTTGAATATTCATGATACAAATACTAGAAGAGACTATACAATAAATACTTATCATTAACATGAAAAAAAGAGAAGGCAATTAATAATGCTAATGACTGCTTCATCAAGAACATATATTATACAAAAACACTGCAAAGAAAAATAATTGATAGTTCACTCCCTGAACAGAAATTTGGGCACAATTCTAAAAATACATTCCCTGAGAATGAACTGAATAATTCAATAAATGCTTCTAAATTTTAGCTGTCCCAGATTCAGGGACAGCTAAAATTCATTTGAGGAAGATATAGCTCATACAGTAAAAAAAGTTGCTTAGAGATGAACAATAGGAAGACTAAATGAAATTTCTAGACATGGTAAGTTTTAAAAACGTCCTCTGGCTGCGTTTTTTTTTTTTTTCACCTCAATTACTGAGAGGATTCAATTATAAGCTCTTTATCTGATTTGTTTATAAACATTTCTATAAATAAAATCCTTATCATAAATGACAAGCATTAATATCTACAAAACTTGAGTTTATGCCAAAAACCACTTCCAAAACTAGAAGCCAATTCCCATCCCTGTCCAAAGATTATCCCTTAGCTATTCTTTGTCTGCTGATGCTAAGTAATCTCAAATACAAGTGCTAGTCTAAAAATAGCCTATCAGACCTAACTTTAGGTTTTGTTTTTCAAACCCCTTCCCAAGAAAGAAAAGGGCAAGAAGGAGTAAATTGTGACCCATGTGAAAATTAATTCCCCTAACTTCCATTTCTAGGTATTAGTTAAAAACATTTCTTTAGCATTTAGTTGGTTATTGCAAAGGGGCCAGCTTGGTTACCTCACATTTTATGTTTTACTAACAGGATCAGGAAAATATTCCTGTCAATTTATTCTCTATCTTCTTATCACAAAGGAGTAAATGACTAATTGGAAACTTAAATGTCTCTTCATAATAGTAACTGAGTCTTGTAATAAAACATGGATTAAACTAGAAGGATTAAGGAATGAGGTAATCTGGCTAATGGCTAATATTTTTCTAAATCCTTTGAATAAGACTGAAATGTACTAAATATTTTCATATTTCAGTAAATATAGCTAATAAAATATAAGGAATCTTGTAGATGCATCTTCCAAGACATAATTAATGGAGATTCTTCTAGTATCTCAGCTTCACAATGTTGTATATCACTTACATGAGCAATTTACTGTATAGATGAAAAATAATCCTCTAAATATAAAGGCATCAGAAATTGAGGTAAACATACCCATTTTTCATATACCCTTGAAACTGTGTTTCAAAAACTTCAATTTGCTTTCTTATAGTTTGTGTTCTTTTAAAAAAATACTTAGAGGGGATAATTCCATTAAGTAGAGGATTTCTATTAGGTCGGTTCTAACTAAAGTTTTAGTATATTTTTCTGAATCCTTTTGGATAACTTAAATATTAAAGAAATAATATATTTTAATTCAACCATGTTCATTTTCTCAGTTTATGTAAGTTATCCACAAAACAGTCCAAAGCAGCAGTAAGGATTCCCATTTACCTAAACAATTTTGTACCACTGATAAAATGAAAAATAAGCACCTCACCAAGGACATGGAGGGGCTTAGGAGATGGTTTTGTTTTTTATTATGGGAGGCAAAAGTATTTAACTAGTAAGATAATTAAAAAAACATAAAAAATATGAGCATGCTTGGCTGACATGTTGCTCAGTGACAACAGTCCTTGCCTAGTGGGTAGAAGGCCCTGGGTTACTTAAGTTCCTAGCAAACCCCCCCCCCCCAACAAATGCATATGTTCTCAACAGATGTGGTGGTGCATATCTATAATCTCAGGAACTCAGGAGGCTGAGGCAGGAGGATTCCAAGTTTGAGGCTAGCCTCAGCAACTTAGCAAGTTGTCTGTCTCAAAATTAAAAAATTAAAAGGGCTGGGATATGGCTCAGTGGTTAAGCACCCCTGCATTCAGTATCCATACCAAAAAAAAAGAAACAATGAGTATCAGTGTGCTCTCTTACTTTTGATAGGACTTTCATAGGAGGCTTTTGTTGTCCCTCTGTGGTAGCACATTTTTCGGTTTTTGGTGACAAAGAAGAACATATTTCAAAATCTGTGTGTCCCAAATCCTGTAAGTACTGGTAAAGTGGAGAATTCTGAAAGAGATATATAATATAAAGCAAATTTCAAGATCCTTATTTTTTTCAAGTTTAAAGAGGCCAAATTCAACATCAAACTTCACTGTCATGACTAGTATGTCCAAAGTCTTTAAGACTTCTGTGAGAATTGAATGCTGCAATTAATGTGATTTAATACCAATAAATCAACAAGCATTTAACAGAGAGACCCAAAAAAGGAAAAACTCTAAATAAAACACACAGAATATTTTGGGCAAGTACCAGCAAGCAAAACTGAATTTAGGAATATAAATAGATTGGTTAAGCAGTATCTTTGTCCCAAATTTTTGTATTCTTAAAGTAGACTGCTTCAAAATAGCCAATGCTGGTTAAAATTCCTAAGAGGATCTACAGTGAAACATGGTAATTACTTTAAGCCAAAAAATGTTAAGCAATGATTGCATTGTATTAATTACAATTTTATCATAACATCATCTTCATTACTTTGTTTATCACAAGTATGTATTATCTATCATACGCTTGGCACTACAAATAAAACTCTTTGAAAGAATTACCGTAGGTAAACTATAAATCACATATGAGTAATGGCAAACCAGAGAGTAATACATGCATTAGAACACAGTAATTGAAAACCCAAACTCTGGAGGCAAACTATAGGTTCAAATCCCAATTTTGCCTCTTACTAGCTAAGTAACCTATGGCAATTTACAATCCTCTGTGCTTCAGTTATGCCATCTAAGGGACAGCAATCTGAGATTCACTTGCACCATGGCAGACTATAGATGCCTCAAGAGATGAGGCAAAGCGGTTTTTAGGGGCAAAAAGGAAAATTCCATTTAAGGTATTTTGAAACAGAGACTCCTGGTTTACAAGGGGCTTATTGCAGGAGGTAGCATTGTTCATTGGTGGTATAGGCTCTTACTAGCAGAAGGTCTTTACAGAAGTGGCTTAACTGGAAGATTCTGGTTTGGTAAATTTCCATTCCTTTTTGGCAGTTCCTGTTTCAGGCTCACATGAGTGAAGGTTCTCCCCTCTTTGTCCTGGATTCCGTTTTATTAGGGTTGAAATAAGTGAATCTATTTTGGTGCTGACAACTTTCACACAGTTAACAAATCTCAAGTATTTACTTGCATCATCTCAGTTATAGTTCACAACAAAGTTGAAAGGATTTTATTATTGTCATCATTATAATTATTATTGCTATTCCCATTTAGTACATGTAGAAACAGATTCTGGATGAAAGCAGAAGAGTTGGGATTGACTACTAAATCTGTCTCCAAAGCCAACGCTCTGAAATATTATACTAAGCTCAAAGAAGAAATAATTCTTCATTTGTCTAGTAAGGAAGATACTAAAGAAGCTTATAGTTTAGTACAGAAAAACCAAGCAAATTAACAATAATAGGAACATATGGATGCTATGAAAACAAAGGAGCCACAGCTAAATTAGACTTTTAGGGACTATGTTGTTAAATTCAGAATAAGAGAGTAGAAATCTGCTGGGCCCCAATTTGAGCCAAATGCCTTTCTTTTAAGCTATGTCTAATCTCTTTTAAGAAATGTATTTTTAATATTATGAGGAAGATGTGTTTCTTATACATCTATTAGATTTAAAAATCTCTGGTGGCATAAACAGTTAATCTTTGTATCACCTCAATGTATACTTGAATATTGCCTTGAATTATTCAATTTGTGTTTTCAAGTTGAACTGTGAACCCCAACCTGCTTTGCCCTTCAGGGTGGCAAAAGAACAAGAACACTAGCCCATTTGTCTGGACTGACCTTTTGAAAAGTTTACATACTTTAAAAACAAAACAAAACAAAACACTTGTTTTTAAGGAGTAGAACTCTTTCTTCACTTGAATTCCCATGGGGGAGAACAATAAATAACACTGATCAGAGCAGAGTTACTTTAAGTCAGGGGCAGCAAACCTCTGCTATAAAAGGCCAGACAGTGAATCTGTTAGACTTTGCAGACCATATGGTTTCTGTCTCAACAATCAACCCTGCTGCTGAAGTGTGAAAACAGAGACAATACATAAACCCATGTACAGTTATATCCCAATAAAACTTTATTTCCACACAATGAAATCTGAAATTTATATAATTTTCATGTTTCACAGAATATAAGTATTTTGATATTTTCTCCAACAATTTAAAAAAGGAAAGGTAGACAGGGAGGATAGGCCTATGGCTATAATCCCAGATAATCAGGAGACTGAGGCAGGATGATTGCAAGTTTGAGGCCAGCCTAGGAAAGTTAGTCTCAAATTAAAATTTTAAAAAATGTGGATATAGTGCAGTGGTAAAGCACTTGCCTAGCATGCCAGGGGCCTGCGTTGGATTTTCAGTACTGAAAAATAAAAAACAAACAAACAAACAAAATAGTAAAATCATTGTTCACCAGCCATTTAAAAATTGGGGTGGGAGAATCTGGCCCCAAAACTTTATTTACTGATTCCTATTCTAATTAAAGATTCAATAGAAATCAGGAGGCATACTCTTTATCTATTTTTTTAAATGTGGTGCTGAGAGTCGAACCCAGTGCCTCATGTGTGCTGAGTAAGCTCTCTACCACTGAGCTATAACCCCAGCCACAGGAGGCACATTCTCAAATGATTTTTGAGAAGAGGCTTGGAAGGTAGGGGTGGAAGCAAATTTCTTTTTATTCAGATTATAATGCTTCTTTTACTGCACATATAGCAGATGCTCCCTTAGTACTAACCCCTCCTTTTCTAGTTATGTCATTGCTCAAAAAAGAACAAAATGGGATATCTGTAGCACAGATTAAAAAAAAAAAAAACATAAATAGAAAAGAAACAATGAACACTTTGTTTTCTAGATATGTTCTTCATATATGTTAAACATATACTTTCTGTTTGCTTTACTATAATCCAGAACACTTGCCTAACTCACAAAACAAAAGCATTAATAGATCATCTTCTAACCATAAATAATGTCCAACAAAGTCCTGTGATACAGCCTTTCTCCCTGGTTTAGTCTGCTTTTTCACTGCTGTGACTAAAGGACCTGACCAGAACAACGGTAGGGGAGGAAGTTTATTTGAGGGCTCACAGTTTCAGAGGTCTTAGTCCATAGAAGGCCAGCTCCATTATTTGGGGCTCAAAGTGAGGCAGAACATCAAGGCAGAAGAGTGTGGCAGAGGGCAGCAGCTCACATGATGATCAGGAAGCAAAGAGAGAGACTCCACTCTCCAGATACAAAATACATATCCCATAGCCACGCCTCCACTGCCCCATTCCTCCAGTCCCACCCCACCATCCTTTAGTTACCACTCAATTAATCCCATTGAGTGATTAATTCATGGATTGAGTTAAGGCTCTTGTAACACAATCATCTTTTCTGAACCCTTTTGCATTGTCTCACACGTGAGCTTTTGGGGGACACTTCATAACCAAACCATAACACTCCCAGTAGCTCATTCTGCTTTTTCTTCAAACATAAAAATGAACCTGGGCTGGGGACATAGCTTAGTTGACAGAGTGCTTACCTCACATGCACAAGGCCCTGGGTTCAATCCTCAGCATCACCAAAATAATAAAATGTAATTTCTAGACATCTATTATTATATTTCATATTTACAATTTTGTTTGTTTTTTTGGTTCTGGGGATTAAATACAGGGGCTCTCTATAACTGAGCTACATCCCTAGAACTTTTTGAGACACGGTCTCTCTAAGTTGCTGATGCTGGTCACAAACTTATGTTTCTCCTGCCTCAGCCTCCTGAGCGGGATTATAGGTGATTGCCACCCCTCCTGGCCATATTTGCAATTTTCTATTTTGGCTGATAGTGCAAATCAGATCTCTTCCTAATATAAACCCAGAAACTGTATGAATGCAAAAGCTCCATTTTCTATGTTTATGACAACATTCTCAACTGTGATATTTATTTTACTGCTTTTTTTTTCTTCTTTTATGCTTCAATCACTTTTGAGCCAAAAAAAAAATTTAAATTTAAGCAACGAGACACAAATGAAAACCAATCATTCTTTGGTTAACTAACTGGATGTCAGCCAAGACGAACTGACTAAGATGGACTTTGTAGCACATGAGAGGAAATTTCTGGTGAAATTAATGCTTTAAAAATATTTGGGGGGCTGGGGATGTGGCTCAAGCGGTAGCGCGCTTGCCTGGCATGCGTGCGGCCCGGGTTCGATCCTCAGCACCACATACAAACAAAGATGTTGTGTCCGCTGAAAACTAAAAAAACAAATATTAAAAAAAAATTCTCTATCTCACCCTCTCTCTCTCTCTCACTCTCTCTCTTTAAAAAAAAAAATATTTGGGGATAAAATTTTCACTTTTTTCCTCAAACTGCAAAATAACTTGGAGATTATTTGATGGATCTTGGGAAACCACATCCTGACTAATGATTCTCAAAATTTTTGAGATACCTTATGGTCTAAAAATTCAGGGCTCAAGTCATTACAATGTCAATGTAAACAACATATTCTTAAAATTTATTTTTAAATTTTTAATTTATTAGTTCTAATCAGTTATACATGACAGCAGAATGTTCTTTGAGTCATTGTATACAAATGGAGCACAATTTTTCATTTCTCTGCTTGTACACGAAGTAGGGTTGCACCATTCATGCAATCATTCATGTACCTAGGGTAATGATGTCTGTCTCATTCCACCATCTTTCCTACCCTTGTGCTCCCTCTGTGGTAAAACATCTCTCAGTTCAATCCCCACCACCAAAACAGAGACTGAGAGAGAGACTATTAAAATACTTCTTCCTTTCCAACTAATTTCTGTTTAAATTGATTTTCTTTATGTACTTCACACAGTAAATTGCAAAACATAAAACCATACGTTGCATCATACTGAATGCATGAAAAGTGTGTTAGTTTTCTGTTGCTGTGACAAAATACCTGATACAAAAACCATATGTTGCATCACACTGAATGCATGAACAGCGTGTTAGCTTTCTGTTGCTGTGACAAAATACCTAAGACAATCAACTTATAAGGAGGAAAAGTTTATTTTGAAATG